GTGGTGTTGCACTGGAGCTTAGAGTCAGCCTATCTACTCTGCATCTTAGTCCTCAGTAGCTTCTACTCTGTCATGCAACCGAACCTCTAACTATAAAGTGGCATTAGATAACTAACCTGGCTCTAGCCTATGGTAGTTATTGAGTCCTAAGCTAAATCTAGCTATAGAAATCTAAACCATAAGGGCAAGAGTTAGCTAAAACAACAGGAGCTGCCTATACTGTAAACTCTATTGCAAAAAACAGGTTCACCTCATAACATACTAGAAGGTGACCACTACACAAATAAAATAGCACAGACCTAGCTATTTGGCACTGTGAATGTGAGATAATAAAAATTGGACAAAGATGCATCCATCACAAGGCTTCAGATTAACACCCAAGAAACTATGGGCAACTGCAGTTAACCACTTGTCTACTGGGCACTTTCACCCCCTTCCTGCCCAAGCCAATTTCAGCTTTCAGTGCTGTCGCACTTTGAATGACAATTGTGTACTCATGTAACACTGTACCAAAAAATTGTTATTATTTTTTTAGACAAATAGAACTTTCTTTTGGTGGTATTTAATTACCACTGATAGGCACTGAAGAAGCTGCACTGATGGGCACTGATGAGGAGGCACTGATATGCAGCATTGATGGGCACTGATAGGCAGCCCTGATGGGCACTGATTGGTGGTACTGATGGGCACTGAGACTGCACTGATGGACACTGATAGGTGGCACTGAGGAGGAGGCACTGATAGGTGGCACTGACAGGCATCACTGATGGGCACTAATAGCCAGCACTGACAGCCGGCACTAATGGGCACCAGGGGCGGACTGACCATTTGGAAACTCGGGCACTGCCCGAGGACCCGGGGTCAGCAGGGGGCCCCATGAGATGCCCCGGTACCTTTTTCATAGGCTTTTTTGACAAGGACACAGGGGCCCCATGATCCCCTATTGCCCGGGGGCCCAATGAGTTGTCAGTCCGCCCCTGATGGGCACTGGCACACTGATGGATGCAGGTCACTGATGGGGTACACTAATAATCCGGGCACTGATTATCAGTGTAGATGTCTCCTGTTTAGATGGCCGCTTACCGGCTTTCCTCTCCTTACGTGCTGTCATCGCAAGGAGAGGACTGCCGATAACCAGCATTTCTTGTTTGCATTGTGATCAACTGTGACACAGCTGGTCATATGGTAAAGGGATACTCTGATTGGCCCTTTACTGTGATCTGTGATTAGCTGTGTCCAAAGGACACATCGGTCACAGATCGCACCTGATGTACGCCCCAGGTGGCACTTGGAGGCATGGTTCGGGGGTGGACGTCCATGGATGCCCTCCCAGAACTAGCTGGGCTACGCTGCAGCCATCTTTTGGCTATATCGTGGTCAGCAAGTGGTTAAACTATTAGAACCTAGGACTACTAATAAGCCTGCTTTTAGATTCAGCAGCATCTTTTCCATGGACACATAGTCTCAGCTGCTCTCTACCTCCATTTCCTCATTCTGGAATTTTCAACCCATCCTCTCAGAGACAGGAAGTACAGGTGAAACTCGAAAAATTAGAATATCGTGCAAAAGTTCATTTATTTCAGTAATGCAACTTAAAAGGTGAAACTAATATATGAGATAGACTCATTACATGCAAAGCAAGATAGTTCAAGCCGTGATTTGTCATAACTTGTGATGATTATGGCTTACAGCTCATGAAAACCCCAAATCCACAATCTCAGAAGATTAGAATATTACATGCAATCAATAAAACAAGGATTGTACATAGAATAATATCGGACCTCTGAAAAGTATAAGCATGCATATGTACTCAGTACTTGGTTTTGGCCCCTTTTGCAGCAATTACTGCCTCAATCGGCGTGGCATGGAATCTATTAGCTTGTGGAACTGCTGAGGTGTTATGGAAGACCAGGATGCTTCAATAGCGGCCTTCAGCTCTTCTGCATTGTTCGGTCTCATGTCTCTCATATTTCTCTTGACAATGCACCACAGATTCTCTATGGGGTTCAGGTCAGGCGAGTTTGCTGGCCAATCAAGCACAGTAATCCCACGGTCATTGAACCAGGTTTTGGTGCTTTTGGCAGTGCTTTTGGCACCTGCCAAGTCCTGCTGGAAAATGAAGTCAGCATCCCCATAAAGCTTGTGTGCGGAAGGAAGCATGAAGTGCTCCAAAATCTCCTGGTAGACGGCTGCGTTGACCCTGGACTTAGTGAAGCACAGTGGACCAACACCAGCAGATGACATGGCTCCCCAAATCAACACAGAATGTCAGGGCTCCCAGGTATGACCAGAGGTGTGTGACTGAAGCAGGGAAACGCAGACTTCAGATATGTGATTAACAATGTAATTTATTAACACTAACAATACAAACATAAACGCAGTGCAATACTAAACATAATACAGTGCAAACAAACCCAACCAACCACCCACAGATAACAGTACATACAAGCAAGCGTCGTCAGGCAGGCCAAGTCAATATCAATTGGGCAGGTAGGTACAGGGGGAGCAAGCGGAGAATGGTCGGGGTCACAGGCCAGGTTCAGCAGGTAGCAAGCAGCGTAGTACAGAGGGTCAGGCAGAGGGATGGTCAGGGTCACAAGCCAGGGATCAGAACAGGTAGCAAGCAGCGTAGTACAGAGTGTCAGGCAGAGGGATGGTCAGGGTCACAAGCCAGGGATCAGAACAGGTAGCAAAGGAACAGAAACAGGATGCAGGACAGATACAGGGCCCAGGACAAACACAACACCAAGGCAGAGTCTGCAAGTCTGGCCATCCCTTAAATACACCAGTATCATCAGTTCCAGGTGTTAGCTGGCTGAAAGGTTGAGTCTCTGATTGCTGGGAGCACCCGCTGGCCAGCCCTGGTACTGCAGATCAAAAGGCAGGTGAGTCCCACCATTGCTGCCAGTCCATTCCTGACAGTACCCCCCCCCCTCAAGGAGCGGCCTCAGGACGCTCCAAACAGTCCTAGCTGGGAAAAATGTTCCACCGCCCGGGTCTGGTAACTGGCGGGATATCAAAGACTGGCACCCCGGGCAGGACTCCGGGCAGCGGTACACCGGGCAGAGGCACATCGGGCTGGACTCCGGGCAGAGGCACACCGGGCAGAGCCACACCGGTCAGAGCCACACCGGGCTGGACTCCGGGCAGAGGCACATCGGGCTGGACTCCGGGGCAGAGGCACATCGGGCTGGACTCCGGGCAGAGGCACATCGGGCTGGACTCCGGGCAGAGGCACATCGGGCTGGACTCCGGGCAGAGGCACATCGGGCTGGACTCCGGGCAGAGGCACATCGGGCTGGACTCCGGGCAGAGGCACATCGGGCTGGACTCCGGGCAGAGGCACACCGGGCAGAGGCACATCGGGCAGGACTCCGGGCAGAGGCACATTGGGCAGGACCCCGGGCAGAGGCACATCGGGCTACCAGGCGAAGCGGCAGGCAGCGGGCCACCGGGCGGAGCGGCAGGCACCGGGCCCCCGGGCGGGGCGGCAGGCACCGGGCCCCCGGGCGGGGCGACAGGCCTCGGGCCCCCGGGCGGGGCGACAGGCCTCGGGCCCCCGGGCGGGGCGACAGGCCTCGGGCCCCCGGGGCGGGGCGACAGGCATCGGGCCCCCGGGCGGGGCGACAGGCATCGGGCCCCCAGGCGGAACTACAGGTCTCGGGCCCTCAGGGCCCTCAGGCGGAGCGGCGGGTGCCGGACCCCCAGATGGAGCGACAGGCCTCGGGCCCCCAGGCGGGGCGACAGGCTTTGGACCCCCAGGCGGGGCGACAGGCATCGGGCCCCCAGGCAGGGCGACAGGCATCGGGCCCCCAGGCGGGGCGGGCGGGCGCCGGACCCCCAGGTGGAACTACAGGCCTCGGGCCCTCAGGCGGAGCGGCGGGCGCCGGACCCCCGGGTGGAGCAACAGGTCTCGTGCCCTCAGGCGGAGCGGCGGGCGCGGACCCCCAGGTGGAGCGACAGGCATCGGGCCCCCAGGCGGGGCGACAGGCATCGGGCCCCCCAGGCGGAGCGGCGGGCGCCGGACCCCCAGGCGGAACTACAGGTCTCGGGCCCTCAGGCGGAGCGGCGGGCGCCGGACCCCCGGGTGGAGCGACAGGTCTCGGGCCCTCATGCGGAGCGGCGGGCGCCGGACCCCCAGGTGGAGCGACAGGTCTCGGGCCCTCAGGCGGAGCGGCGGGCGCCGGACCCCCAGGTGGAGCGACAGGTCTCGGGGCCTCAGGCGGAGCGGCGGGCGCCGGACCCCCAGGCGGTGCGACAGGTCTCGGGCCCTCAGGCGGAGCGACAGGTCTCGGGCCCCCAGGCGGGGGGGGGCGGCGAGCGCCGGACCCCCAGGTGGAGCGGCGGGCGCTGGACCCCCAGGCGGAGCGACAGGTCTCGGGCCCCCAGGCGGAGCAGCGGGCACCGAGTCACCAGGCACGACAGTGGGCACCGAGTCAAACTGGCATGACCGCTGGCACTAGGTCAGACATTGGATCGTCTGGCTGGACAGCGGGCATCGGGTCACCAGGCATCAGGTCATTTGGCTCGACAGCGGGCACCGTGTCATCTGGCAAGGCAGTGGGCTCCGAGTCAACTGGTATGACCGCGGGCACTGGGTCAGACATTGGATCGTCTGACCGGACAGCGGGCATCGGGTCACCAGGCATCAGGTCATTTGGCTCGACCGCGGGCACCGCGTCATCTGGCAAGGCAGTGGGCTCCGAGTCAACTGGTATGACCGCGGGCACTGGGTCAGACATTGGATCGTCTGACTGGACAGCGGGCATCGGGTCACCAGGCATCAAGTCATTTGGCTTGACAGCGAGCACCGCGTCATCTGGCAAGGCAGTGGGTTCCGAGTCAACTGGCATGACCGCGGGCACTGGGGCAGACATTGAATCGTCTGGCTGGACAGCGGGCATCGGGTCACCAGGCATCAGGTCATTTGGCTCGACAGCGGGCACCGCGTCATCTGGCAAGGCAGTGGGCTCCGAGTCAACAGGCACGACAGTGGGCACCGGGTCATCAGGTACCGGATTGTCTGGCTCGACAGCAGGCATCGGGTCACCAGGTATGACAGCGGGCACTGGGTCACCAGGCATCAGGTCATTTGGCTTGCCAGCGGGCACCGCGTCATCTGGCAAGGCAGTGGGCACCGGGTCACCAGGCATTGGATGTCTGGCTCGACAGCGGGCATCGGGTCACCAGGTATGACAGCGGGCACTGGGTCACCAGGCATCAGGTCATTTGGCTCGCCAGCGGGCACCGCGTCATCTGGCAAGGCAGTGGGCACCGAGTCACCAGGTACGACAGCGGGCTCTGAGTCAATTGGCACGACAGCGGGCACCGGATCAGGTACCGGATCATCTGGATCAACAGCGGGCATCGAGTCAACTTGCCTAATAGGATCGTCAGGCTGGATCAGTTCATCATGCTGGGTAGAGGCATCAGGCTGAATGCCGGCGTCCGGCTGAGTAGAGGCTTCAGGCCGAGTAGAGGCTTCAGGCCGAGTAGAGGCTTCAGGCCGAGTAGAGGCTTCAGGCCGAGTAGAGGCATCAGGCCGAGTAGAGGCATCAGGCTGCATACAGGCATCAGGCTGAAGAGAGGCATCAGGCTGAAGAGAGGCATCAGGCTGCGTACCGGCATCAGGCTGAAGAGAGGCATCAGGCTGCGTACCGGCATCAGGCTGAAGAGAGGCATCAGGCCGAGTACAGGCATCAGGCCGAGTAGAGGCTTCAGGCCGAGTAGAGGCTTCAGGCCGAGTAGAGGCTTCAGGCTGAGTAGAGGCTTCAGGCTGAACCACGGAAGGCAGGCTCACCGGTTTGGATACTGGCAGGATGGTATTGGTTGGAAAGAATTTTCGCTTTTTTCTGGTTTTAACTACTGGAGCACTGCAAGTAAACGCAGGTCTGCAAACGAATGGAGCAGCTGGAGACAGAGAAGAAACTGGAGGATGGAACAGGAGAGGGAGCAGTTGCTACAGAGGGCTTTTTTACAGGGTTAAAGGCAGGATAGGTGCAGCGAGTGGGAACAGGGTACTGACATGCGGTAGATAGCCAAGTATACTGGGCTGTAACTGGAGGAGCTGGTGGGAATACAGGAGTAGAGTTAGAAGCAGGACTGGGTTTTTGTAAGCTGACTGAGGCTGGGTGCAACAAGTCTGTCCATGTCTGCAGTATGGGTTGAACAAAGCTGAGCTTACACAAAGCCTGTCTGGTCAATGACTGCACTGCGTTTATACAATCTCTTAGTGTCTGTGGTGAACATGTGGAATAACGCTCCAGAAAGTAACCCACATCATCCTCTAATAACCACACCAGGGACTCTACCTGGTCTGCACTAAATGGTGGCAAAAATTCATCATCCTGCATTCGGGGGTACCAGATGAAACCAACTCTGCACAAACCTCAATCAAAGGCTGCACCTCAGAGAACTCTGTGCCCTGATCTACTAGAACATGAGCGAGCCGTATACATTCTAGCAGTTCATCCCGGGTATACTCCTTCAGAGTTTGATAAGCATACTCCCTGTCATCAAACACTAGCAGATATAAATACGCAACCTCATCCAGATCCATCCTTCCCATCAACAAGCCAATTTGGCTTCCCTGTGCAGCCACTTTCTGGTCAGGATTGGCCTTGGTGTAATGTCAGGGCTCCCAGGTATGACCAGAGGTGTGTGACTGAAGCAGGGAAACGCAGACTTCAGATATGTGATTAACAATGTAATTTATTAACACTAACAATACAAACATAAACGCAGTGCAATACTAAACATAATACAGTGCAAACAAACCCAACCAACCACCCACAGATAACAGTACATACAAGCAAGCGTCGTCAGGCAGGCCGAGTCAATATCAATTGGGCAGGTAGGTACAGGGGGAGCAAGCGGAGAATGGTCGGGGTCACAGGCCAGGTTCAGCAGGTAGCAAGCAGCGTAGTACAGAGGGTCAGGCAGAGGGATGGTCAGGGTCACAAGCCAGGGATCAGAACAGGTAGCAAGCAGCGTAGTACAGAGGGTCAGGCAGAGGGATGGTCAGGGTCACAAGCCAGGGATCAGAACAGGTAGCAAAGGAACAGAAACAGGATGCAGGACAGATACAGGGCCCAGGACAAACACAACACCAAGGCAGAGAGTCTGCAAGTCTGGCCATCCCTTAAATACACCAGTATCATCAGTTCCAGGTGTTAGCTGGCTGAAAGGTTGAGTCTCTGATTGCTGGGAGCACCCGCTGGCCAGCCCTGGATGCAGATCAAAAGGCAGGTGAGTCCCACCATTGCTGGCCAGTCCATTCCTGACACAGACTGTGGAAACTTCACACTGGACTTCAAGCATCTAGCATCTTGCAGTGTGTGCCTCTCCATTCTTCCTCCATACTCTGGGTCCTTGGTTTCCAAATGAGATGCAAAAGTTGCTCTTATCAGAAAAAAGAGGACTTTGGACCACTGAACAACAGACCAGGTCTGTTTTTTCTTTAGCCCAGTTAAGATGCTTCTGACATTGTTTGTTGTTCAGGAGCGGCTTGACAAGAGGATTATGACATTTGAAGCCCAAGTCCAGGATCCGTCTGTGTGGTGGCTCTTGATGCACTGACTCCAGCCTCAGTCCACTCCTTGTGAAAGTCCCTGACACTTTTGAATGGCCTTTTCCTGACAATCCTCTCCAGGCTGTGGTCATCCCTGCTGCTTGTGCACCTTTTTCTTCCACACTTTTCCCATCCACATAACTTTCTATTAATTTGCTTTGATACAGCACTTTGGGAACATCCAACTTCTTTAGCAATTACCATTTGAGGCTTTCCCTCCTTATGGAGGGTGTCAATGATGGTTTTCTGCACAACTGTCAGGTCAGCAGTCTTTCTCATGATTGTGATTCCTACTGAACCAGACTGAGAGACCATTTAAAGGGTCAGGAACCCTTTGCAGGTGTTATGGCTTAATTAGCTGATTAGAGTGGGACACTTTCAGCCGAGAATATTGCACCTTTTCACAATATTCTCGTTTTCTGAGATTGTGGATTTGGGGGTTTTCATGAGCTGTAAGCCATAATCATCACAATTATGATAAATCACAGCTTGAACTATCTTGTTTGCATGTAATGAGTCTATCTCATATATTGGTTTCACCTTTTAAGTTGCATTACTGAAATAAATGAACTTTCGCACGATATTCTAATTTTTCGAGTTTCACCTGTGTATACCTTACATAATTAAATCTCCATATTAAGAGCACAGATATTCACAAATACAGACAGTAGAGGGCAGCACATGGCTACAGTAGACTTTCGGGTCACAGACAGTAGTAAAAACCTGTGGAGGGTGTAGCCATGAGGAGCTGGATTTAAAACAAGCGAGATCTCACAGTGTGGAGAAAACTCTAGATTATGAAGTACAGGGATCCTGGCAAGGCAGTACTCATACATGAGGTTTCCACTGGAGTTGGGGCTTCAGATGCAGTCCAAGGAGTACAGGAGAAAAAGAGTGCCAAATCCATAATTTTGAGGCTAAGTACAGCTCTTTCTGGCAGGACAAGAGGCCATATTTTTCTTTTTTGCAGTTAAGTAACACTGACAGGTCTTGCCCCTCCCACATCCTGATAGTGAAAGGAAAAGCAGAAGACTGATGAGCTCATCTCTCTGTCATTCTGCTCTCTTCCTATCAGCATTCTTCTAGCACTGCAGCACAACCGATTGGCTACATGTGCTTTTTCTTTTTCCCTCAGTCTAAAGCTGGCCATACACATATAGATTTTCATTCAAGAATTTTCGTCAAAAAATATAATTATTTTGCTATAACCTGATTTGGCTTATTTTCTTTTACCAAAAAGGTAGCAGAATACATTTTGGCCAAGATTTATGAAGAAAGAATATTTATTAGCAAAAGTTTATAAGAAAAACTTGTTTTTTTCACAAGTTATGGTCTTTTTTCATTTATATAGCAAAAAATAAAAATCCCAGTGGTGAATAAATACCACCAAAAGAAAGTTCTGTCTAAAAAAAAAATGCTAAAAATTAAATTTGCGTACAATTGCCATTCAAAGTGTGACAGCGCTGAAAGCTTCAAATTGGTCTGGACTGGAAGGGGGTAAAAGTGTCCGGACTTAAAGTGGTTAATAAATACACAGCTGCATGTTTTTTTTTTTTCTAACTGAAGTTTAGCTATCAAGAAGAACTCCAGAAATTGCAGAAGTTTTAAAAAATGCCTGGTTTATAAGGAGTTAAGTCCAAGGACAGGTATGCCACCTCATGGTCTTTTATTCAAAGTGATTCTAAAGGCTTATATATATTTTTGTTTTTATAAAAACAAGTCTATACTTACCTGCTGTGTGCAGTGGTTTTGCACAGAGTAGCCTGGATCCTCCTCTTCTCAGGTCCCCCTCAGTCTCTCCTGATCCCTCCCTCCTGTCGGGTGCCCCCACAGCAAGCAGCTTGCTATGGGGGCACCTGTGCTCCGTGTGTCCATTCACACATGGAGCTGCGGTCCGGCCCCGCCCCCTCTCTCTTCTCAATGGCTCACTGGCTATGATTGACAGCAGTGGAAGCCAATGGCTCCCCCTTCTGTCTCAGCCAGTCCCGGGATAGTCAAGACTCCAGTGCACATCACTGGATTGAGAGGGGGCTTAGGGAAATATTACGGAGGGCTGGGGGAGCTGCTGCACAGAGAAGGATTTTTACCTTCATGCATAGAATGCATGACAGTAAAAAACCTTGAGCCTGTACAACCACTTTAATATTTGCATTTTTCCTGAGCATTGGGAGACAGTACAGATATCTTGTTATTTCTGGCGCTCCAACACTGGGCCTTCAGGTTTCCGATACAGCAGCTGCAGAGTTATATGCAGTAGCTTTGCCTGGCCCTCTTCTCCTTTTACCCAGTCATTGGAGGCTTTGTATTATATGAACCCATATACAAAATACAAAGCCTTCTGTGAATGGACAGTCAACAACCCCGCCACATTCAAAGTCACTTAAATCCCCTTTCTTCCCCATTCTGATGCTCAGTTTCAACTTCAGCAAGTTGTCTTCACCACATCTACATGCCTAAATACATTGAGTTGCAGCCATGTGATTGGCTGATTAGCAATTTGTGTTACTAAGCAATTGAACAGGTGTACCTAATAAAGTGGCCAAAGAGTTTATATTGTGATAGATTACTGTAGTTCTTGGCTCTTTCCATCATATTACTTTGGTAAGTAAAGAATATAACTCTACATCTACTCTACATGGCTCTGGTCATAATAATTCTGAATTTTGCAACTATTGTACAAATTATGTAAAGCAGATTACATCAAGAGAAATATGTATTTGTTTTCATTCCGATTGGAATTGGTTTGAGCATGTAGCCTTATTTATGACATTGTTTTTCACAAAAGCCACAAACCGTCCACTTAGTTTAGGCGAGAATTGCAGCACCATTTTATAGCAGACAAAATGATATTAGCCACACTGGAGTGACCATAGTGAAATATGTTCAGGTTAATGAGAGATAATATTGTAATATAAATGCATAAACACATAGAAGGTAAAAGGAGGGGAACAATCAATGATCAGCAAATTCTTTGTATAAAGTGCAGCAATAAAAAAAAAACTATTTGGCATCATGCAAGCATGTAATGTACAATTCATTGCCCTTTTGTTGTAGCCAGCATACATTTGAATTTTTCCAAATGTTGTTGCATTACAGAAACTACTGATGGAATCTGTTTAGGGCTATGTAATATACTATATTGCCAGAAGTATTGGGACGCCTGCCTTTACACGCACATGAACTTT